TACAGAAAAAAAGGATGCATGGAGAATAGGGTGACTCTTCTTTTATACCTTCCTCCCAATTACCCATCACACTCATTATTTTACAGCAACTAAAAAAGAGAGGATGTGAAAGAGACTCAGGGCTCCTTAAGGACAACAAAGTCAGGCCCCACCGACTGCCTGCCACTCCCCAACTGCAGCTGCCAAACCTCTCAGACCTCCCACCTAGAAAGAAACTCCTATTGATGGGGCTTCAGCAGCCCCTGGACCCCAGGGCTGCAGGCTGTGCCTACAGGGGAAGCCTCTGACCCAGGAGCAGACAAGCCACCAGACAAGGGGCAGCGAGCACCACAGCACAGGGTCCAACGCCTTCTACACGGCCCCAGGTTCCACAAGAGCAGTGCCTACAAGGACAGGAAGCCCTGGCTGTCCAAGGCCACATGCTTTAGGACAACATAGCAACTTCACAAGCCAGAGCACCATTGAAAATGACTGTCAGTAAGCCTTTTGAAAGTTTGTTTAAAAAGAAAGCTGTCATGGGCTGGCCGGCCAAGTGGCTCAGTTGGTTAAGAGCATGAGCTCTGAGCAACAGGCTCACTGGTTCGATTCCCACATGGGCCAGTGAGCTGCACCCGAGCTGAGCTGCCAACAGATGGCAGGATGGCTCAGCTGGTGAGAGCACATGCTCCTAATAACAAGGTTGCTGGTAGACTCCCACATGGGATGGTGGGCTACGCCCACCCACAACTAAGACTGATCACAGCAACTTGAGCTGAGCTGCCCTGAGCTGCAGATAGGCAGTTGGATGATGACTGAACTTGGAGGTGAGCTAGCTGCATCCTCCACAACTAAGACTGAAGGATAACAATTTGGCTGTTCCCCTTCCCCAATAAAATCTTAAAAAAAAAAAAAGCTGTCATGCATTTGCTTAAAAAAGGTTTTGTTTTGTTTTAAATGAAAATCTAATTCTGAACATTTTGACTTCAGATTCTTTCAGCTTAACCCAAGCACTCTCTAGGTGATTCAGACCATGGTGACGCCCCCAATCAGGTCCTTGAGGTGGCAGGGCCCTGTTTATTGGTCACAGTCGCATGCTCTGGGTGCTATCTGCTCCACTGCAGGCAAATGTGGGTTTATCCCTTGATGGCACATAAGAAAGTGATTGTAAAGACAAGCTGGGACTTGCTGAGTGCCATAGAAAAAACTGTCCCAGAACCATTCCAATCTAAGTGGCTCAACCTGGTTGGGCCCACCGAGGAGCCCCCGAGGTTCTCTGGGACCAGCACTGCATTCAGTGACGACTCCCTGAAACTGACTTGTCCAGAGAAAGCTCAGTGCAGCTCCTAGAGAGGCTGCGGGTCCAGGAAAACATTCCCATTGGTGCCCACATGTGGGCAGCACCCACTGGCATCTGGCTAGTGCCAACATGTTGTGAACAAGCCAGGATGAAAAGTGGCCACGGGGCCTATGGCAATAGAGCACTGCCAGGGAAGCCTTCCTGGAGTAAGGGGCAGCAGAGCAGAGGCAGGAGGGAGGTGGAGCCCACAGAGAAGTGAAAGGAGATGAGGGCAAGCCAGGCATATTTCTGCAACCAGAGGGGACTTCAGGTTGGTGGAGGGAGGATGCGTGACCAGAGATGAGGCTGCAGGACCAAGAGGGCACACTCCACTGATGCCAGGCTCCTTGTAAGAAGCACAGTCTCTGAGGGCAACATCATAGGTGCTGGGAGCCCACCAGGGACTCCAGGGGGCCCTGCTGCAGAAAGGATGTGGTCAGCCCAGGATCCCAAGAAGGTGGCCCAGAAGCCACATTCAGGTCCCAAGTGCCCTTATTGGTTCCAAACGAAGTCTAACGATTTCAGGGACATTTCCAGGGCGGCCCAGGCAAGACCCTGACTGTCTTCTGTCCCCTTCAGGCAGATGGGAAGAGGAATGGGGAACATTTCTGGCAGCTTAAGAGCACCATTCCAACCCTATGAGGTGACACAGGATGTGGGGTGCTGAGACACTCTAACCAAAGTGGCCCTTGGCAACAGTCAGCTACCTGCCAGTTGCCTGTGGGCAGCCACACCTCTCAAGGCCAGTCATTCCTGGGAGGGCCTTACAAGCGCTCCTGGCTGATGCTAGCAAGTGTGGCAGCCCCCTTGATGGGCACAGGACAAAAGAGGGACCTGCCAATGCTTCGCTCGCATACCTGTTCTTCTTTTCCAAGTCAGGAAGCACTAAGAGCTGCTAGAACTTTTAAACCATATTCTAGGAAGGTGATGAAAACCTGTCCAGCTCCATTTGTCACCTCAACATGTGCCCAGTTAAGATGACCCACACTAATCCATGGGATGAAAGGTGCAGTTGTGAACACCCTTCACTTCCTACACAAGGCCCACCTCTCCTAGGCCTCAAAATACTGCAGACACTGGCACCAGGAGCTGGGAGCTTGGCGGAAGGGTTCTAGAAGTGTCCCTTACTGCAGGAAGGCATCTGTCTGAGCCCTGCCATGTGTTTCGCCCTGGGACCAGACAGGAGGAAAAAAGGGTCCTCTTTCCAGTCCTAGACACCAGCAGCACCCGCAGGGCCACAGGGAGGGTGGGACCTGGTCCTGCTGGGAGGAGGGCGAGGGTGACATCTGAGACTTGTGAAATCAAGCACCACCAACCCCAGGCGCCCCAAAGAGGCTGGGCACTGCCAACATCCCAAGAGGAGCTGGGTGCCTGCACAGATGGGAGAATTGCACCCCGACCTCCAAAGACCAGGGGAGCACTTAGCAAGTAAACCTTAGTGCAGACAGGCTTGTAAACACACAAACCCAAGAATACCCTGGCCTCTCGAGGAAGCTCATTGAAAAAAAAACAATCTACCTAGTGCCTGGAACAGAAATGAGAGGAGGGGGAGGAGAGCGACTTGGGAGGTGAAGCTGTCACCTGCCTGCTGGCACAGAGGGCTCCCAGTGGAAGGCAGAGCAAGGGCCTCTGGAGGACCCTAGAAACCCCTCCTCCACCAGGCCTGCTGCTGCTGAGCTCAGCAACTTCCAGGAAGGGAGGAGGGGGCTGGTAGCCTACCACAGCCAGAGACTTCAGGCTGAACAGGTATGGCATTTTCCATTCTTGCTATACACACCCACCCTGGGTGGGGCACTGGGGCCTCCCTGGTGAAGCACTGGGCAAGGCAGGAAGGAGACCAGTGAGTTCCACCTGATCTTCCCGCTTCTGTCTGTGAGGGCGGCTGACCTGTTCTGATGGACAAACGGAAGAAAAGGGAGGTCAGGGGTCTTTCACCCTCCTGACCCCAAGGGAAAATCAATCTTAGGAGGTGGGGCTGCAGAAAGGAGTGTCCTGGTTGCAAACTAGGGCCGAAGCCAAGTCTACTGGGCAAGCTTGATTCAGGCCTCGCAGCAGTCCCCAAAGCACATTCTGCACACTCTCCCTAAAGGGGCTCTCCCACGCTAATTCCCTCTGGCAGACAGGACAGTGTCTGCCCCAATTCCTGACTCCTGCAGACAGGGATGTGCCCACCTGGGCCTATTTGAGTTGGGCAGTGCCCAATTCCTGGGGGTCTACAGTCCTGGTGGGTGGCTGCAAGCCCCCAGGCCAAGCTCAGTCTAGCATAGAGTGGCTAAACCATGGGGGGCAGAGGGTGGAGGGGTGGTGTCACCCCAGGAAAGTGCATTCAGGCAGAGCAGGCCAAGGGTGGGCAGGAAGCACTGCTTCAAGTGCCCTGGACAGGCAGATCTGTTAGCACTATGGCCTTTAGGGACCAGGAACATCACTTCTCATGCTGGAAGCTGCTAGGGCGGGGGGACCTTCCGCCAGCTCTAGGACTCCAATTTCCTGACAGTCTGGGAAAGATCCCAGGAAAAGGACTGAGGGCTGATCAGGGAGAGTAATGCATGCACGTTGCTCAGCACTGAACTGGCCAGATGTCCAACTTTCATCCTCCAACCTCACCAGAGACCCTGCACCTTCCTGACAAGGAGTGTCGATGAAAACGACTACACTCCAAGGGCCACACAGCTCCCCACCCTGCCCATCTGAGAATGCAGTCCTAAGGCAAATACGGAAGGTAAACAAAAAGCAAGCAAGAATACCTCACTCCTGGCCTTTCCCAGCAGACATCCTGGAGACAAGGCCCCACAGGGTACCAACACCAACGGGAGGGAAAGAATCCCAACGCTAACCAACCGAAACCCAGCACGGCCCCCACACTGCTTTGGGGCTCTGGCTGCAAAGTGCTTCTCAGGAGAGGTGCCCCCCACACAGGTCAGCCCTATGCCCCCAACCTCCACAGAAATGGGGGTCTACAGGAAAGGTGGCTGGCTGCACAGGTACTTCCGACCAGCTCGGCTTCCCCAAACCTGGCTGTTGGGTCGCTTTTGCTCCTTTCAGAGCAAGGTCGCACCTGGTTCTGGCCCAACTGGAGGGCAGGCAGCACTACCGCACTACCTCCTCCCCGCCCCCAGCCCCAGGTCACACTCGGGCCTTTGTTCTACCTGCACACACGGGCAGGCGGAGCCAATCCCCCTCCCTGGCAGCTCCTCCCCAGCCCCCTCAACACAGGCTGAGGGGCTGGGGGCCCCACAGGTGCAGAGGAAGAGGACCTCCACTTCTCACTTACGCTCTGGGTATGAGCCGCACAGGAAAGCGAACACTCCAGGTGGGCTACGCACTCACAGGAACCCACTTTCCCACTCGACGAGCCAAGGCCAGTCTGGGCCTATAGTTAGCGCCGGCCCGGTGGAAGTCCAGGCACTGCGCAGGGAGGTGGGGAAAAGTATAGAGAGGGGCGGCACAAGAGGGGAGAGCGACATTAGACGCCAGTGTGACAGCGGCCGCAGCAGACCACCTGGGGGCTTCGGGCGCCGGGCAAGCAGGAGGGGTTTCAGAAGGGCTGTGGCTAGTGGAGGCCCCGAGGGCAACAGAGGAGAGCAGGGAAGGAGACCGGGCCCAGGGGCATGGCCCGGTGAGCCGCCACAAGCTGGGCCTCGCGCTACGGCCCCGACAGCGTGGCCACGCATCGGGCGGGCCTCACCTGGGCGTGCGCAGCGCGGTGGGGTCGCGGCGGTCCAGCACGCCGGGCACGCAGTTGGTGAGCTCCGTCCAGTCGGCGTGCAGCCCGCAGCTCCAGCCCGTAGAGAAGCGGGAGAAGAGCCAGGTCTCGCGGCGGTTTGGCCGGTAGCAGGTGCACTTCTTCTGGCCTGGCCGGCAGTCGCAGGGCACTTCGAGGCGCACATTCTGCACGAGGTGGCGGCCAAAGGTGGTGCCGCCCGTCTTCTGGATGTGCAGAAAGACGATCACGTCGTCGCCTTTCATGTCGAAGCGCAGCGAGCGCTCCAGCTCGCGCACCGGGAAGTAGTACTTCTTCTCGTAGTGCGGGTCGGGCGTGGGGAAGAGGTCTAGATCATCGGGCGGCGCGCGGCCGCCTGGCGCGCCCAGGCTCAGCCCCGGGCCCGCGTACTGGTACAGGATGAGCATGAAGCACGCCGAGCCCGCCACCACCAGCACGAACTTGCTGGCGCGCTCAACCATGGTCCTGCCGCCGGCGCGCCGCCGCCACATGTGTCACCATCGCCGGCAGCCGGGGCGCGGGGCGCTGGGCCTGTGAGGGCGCGGGGCGCGAGTGCAGCTGCCTCCGCCCGCGGCCCGGCCTGCCTATTCGGCGCCCAGCCTGCCCGCAGCGGATCGGGCCCTGGCTCTGAGCGGTGCCATGGCTGCTCCCCGCCTGTCCTGGCTCCCCGGCCCGATCCCGGCCTCGGCTGCGGGCCCGCACAGCCGCACACCACACCACAGCTCCGCTACGCGCCGAGAGGGCTCTGCGCCGCCCCGCACGCTGCCGCGTCTTCGCAGTTCGCCTGCCCCGCCTCCGCCCCGCCCCCGCGGCGTCTCTTACCATCGCCGCCCGCGCCGGTCCTAGGCTCCGCCCCCAGAGTACGCTGGGCCGTAGGCCCCGGCCAGGGGTTCATGCTTGGGCTCTGGCCGCCGAAGGCCTCTCCGAGGCGGGATGCCATCTACTGGGGACCGACTTCCGTGCGCCGAGGCGTGGGGAGCGGCTAGGGGACGTGGTACCGGGGTGCGGCGGCCGTTGTGGGCGGGAGGGGCGCGCAGCGGCCGGCGCCTCGGCTTGGGTCCTCCTTCCCTTGGGGCCGGGCTGTGAGTGGAATAGGCCTTTCCCCACTTCTCGGGAGGAGAGGCATTGACCTTGCATACTGGGTGCTCTGAAGTTCCAAACGCCAAAAGGCGGGCTACATTTGTAGGGACTTGAGGGCGGTGGGGGCCAGAAGCACCACGTTAGGGACAAGGGCCCGCGAGGGAAAGGAGGGTTGCGGAGGAGGAGCCTGGGCAGGCGGCCGCGATAGGACTCCCCTCCCCCCTCTCCCACCCGCCGTGGCTTTGGGACAATGAGCCAGAGTCCCTCGTGTAGAGATGCTTAAGTGTCCTGACCGCAGAGGCCCTCCGGCCAGTTTTATGAAGTCCCTCCTTTGCAGTGTGCATTTTTCCCTCAATGTTTATTACAACCCAGTGAAAAAGTAAAAGGTTGAGCCAATATTTAAAAATTGTGAGTCCATAAAAAAATTTTCAGCTTCCAGCTTTGGTGGGTTGTTTGGAGGGTCTGGCTGCCTTGAGCCTGTCTGTTCTGCGGTGGTGCCCTGGTGTGCCCCGCCTCCAGCTAGGGCTCTGTGCATGGCTTCTCTGGACCCCTGCCGGCAGGCATCTAGAGTGGGCCAAGTCCATACCCACAGCGGTGGCACCTCTAACAGAGGAGGAGGTGGGCTGGGGTGTGAAATGACTGGCGTGGAATCTCAGCGCGGCGGGTTAGCCGGGTTTTTACTCAGGCCAGAGTGGCCTCGGGGAGGGAGTTCAGCCACCAGGCCTGGGTTCAAATGCCCACACCATCTCCTGCCAGGGGTCCTTGGTTTCTTTCTGTTAGAAGTCATGAAAGCATGGGGGTGGGGGGGGGTTGTGAGGCCTTATTGTGTCAATTATACCGCTGTAAAACTTTAAAATAAATTGTACCAGAAAACTGCTGGAAGCAAACCCAGAGAGCTGGAAAAATCACCCCCAACACCCCAGAACCCACTAAGAGGGGAGCATACGATTGTCACAAGACTCTGAAAGAATAGCCGCTCCAGACAGAAAGAAGGGTGCAGTGTCCTGAACACAATGCAGAGTGACTTAACAACTGCTGGGGGTGGGGGGTGGTGAGACCTTGGGTCCCAAAGCTCTCACCCATCCTTAGCTGCTTTAAAACTGCCCCTGGCCTAGGGAAGCCTGGGGTGACCTGATCAGACTTCCCCAGGAATGATTCCTTCTTGCCAGGAGTGGGGCTGGCACCAGGTGTGCTAGGAGATGCCTGCCTCTGCCTGTCAAGTCATTTGACCCCTCTTTAGGCTGAAGCCCAGGCCTGGAGGGCAGAGATGCCCTGGGTCAACCACAAGGCACCCTTACCCAGATGACACTGTTGTACCAAGTGGTAAATCACAATTGAGGCTGCTCTTCATCCAGAACTACTGTAAATGTGTCATTCCTAATTGTATCAGCAAGCTATTTTACAGACGAGAAAACAGGCTCAGAGGGGGCAAAGGAAGGCCCTGGCCAAGGTCACATGGCTGGCTGGTGCTTCTGTAAGGGTGACAGTATTTTGCAAGATTTAACAATCTGGTTGATTTTTCTTTTCTTTGTTTCCTTCCCCTCTTCCCTGACTCCATTACTCAGTTACATGCATACCTCGTTAATTTGGTTAATTGCCAGAACATGGACTTAAAAGAAACTGTTTCAGCCCTTAGACTTCTAGACGCTGATATAACCAGGCTGCAACTAACTCCCTTGCAGTTTTCCAACAGATGATGCATGAATCACCCCTATGACCTGGTCTGAGATAACAATATTTTGAACCGGACCCTAGGATGTGTTTTTCTGGATGTAAGCATCCAGGAATCACCTGCCTAACTCCCCCTTTCCTTTGTTTTGCCTCATTTTATGTGCCTATAAAACCTAGGAATGGAGAGACGGCCTTTGAGACGGGAGTCCGCCATCTTCCTGGGATGCTGGCATGTTGAATAAACTCCATTTTCTTTCTACCCCTTGTCTCTTGGACTTGAGGTTTCCTGTGGCAAGCAGCTGAACCTGGGTTTTCCAGTGACACTTCCTCTTCCTGACCCAGGAGAGCAGGGTAGATAACGTCTGAGCTAAAGCCTCCTGCATGGGCACCCTTGCCCTCAGCCCTGGTGTCTGGGTCCAGCATGGAGCTCATGGGTGTCCTCCAGGGTCAGCCAAGCTCCTCTCACACTTGTGAGAGAGTCAACGGAGCTGGGATTCTGATCCTGGACTATCTGGCTCCAGAAGCTGGCCCTTACCCACCCCTGCACTCACCTCAGCTCCCCCATGCTGGGGCCAAGGCTAGGGTGGCGGGCTGTGAGAGGGTCTAGAGGGGCTACTCCTTAGCTCCTGACAAGTGTCTCTGCTGCCAGATAGGAATGTGGGTCCAGAGTATTCAGCAGAAAGCTGGAGTGTTATCCAAAGGCCACCAAAACCATCTGTGCTTGGCCTGTGGCCCCATCTTGTGACAATCTCACTGTCCCAATAGGGAAACTGAGGCCCATATTGGGAAGGCCTAATAAAGGGTCCCTAGTGGGTGGCTGCCCCTCCCATGAGCAGCTTGACCCACAGATAAACAGTGTTCCCCTTACCCCCAACCCCCAGAAGCTGTTTAATCCAACTTTGTACCTACTGGAATGGCTGATCGGGAACCCCCTACTTAGTCAGGGAGCCTTAGAGTTGTCTTAAGAGGAAGAAAAATTTCCTACTGCACTACAGGATTTTACTCTCTTTGATCTAAGTGCTGCACATGTACTGAGGCCCCAAGGCTGCAGGTGAGTTTCTCACCTTAAAGTCAAGTCAGATGAGCTGCTAATCCTGAGTGAAGTTGCTTCAGTCAATCAGTGAACACGCGGGAGCAGGATGGAATGCAAACTACACCTCATTGCTTGGCTGCGAAGCTTTCATCCAGCTATTCCGAATTGTGCCTCCAGTGTCATCCCCTGAAAAACTAGCAGAAATGTGCACATTAAAGTGCAGTTGTAGCTTTGACGTGATATCACAGAGCACAGCCAACTCCTCACATTCAGTAGGGCCCCTTCACTTGCTGTTTCCTTTCTATCCCTACTTGATCTACAGGGCAGCCAAGGTTCCCCTTGGCCCTAAGATTGTATATGAATATGAGGCCTTTTAATTGTTTGCTGTAGGCGGTGCCCAGCCCTGAGTGTTTTCAGAGTTCAAGCAAAAGCAATTGCTGCTCTTCTGCCTGTGACTGTCTTTGAATCCTGAATATCCACTTCATAAATTCTTTAATGTACGGTCTCTGACTTAATGTCAAAGAAAAAAAAAAAGGAACACGGTTAGTGGTAGGAAGTGATGATCAGATAAAAACAAGTCATTGTACTGCTGCTCCGGGAAAGCGCAAGCCGCGATAAAATTTCGGCATTAGGAGTGAAATGCAATTTGCTTTGAACCTAAAAGAGCCTCAGAACACAATGCAAGCTTTCCCACCCTACCGACAATACGTCCTCAAAGTCTGAGAACCAGGAGATCAACTCACGTCCCTCCCTCCGGGGCTTCAGTCCCACGGAAGGGCGTGCGGGGGCAGCACCGCCGCCGCAGCAGGCCAGTCCCGGCATTCCGCAGTAGACCTTGCGAGATTAGGGGGGTTTCCCGTACTCTGTTCCCTCATTCGCTTTCGGTCTGCCCCCATTGTGGTTTCCGAAGGCGAGGAGGACAACCGCGTCTGTCCTCAGAGCTTCCTCTGGGGATGGCCCTGCTTCACACGGCGGGGCGTGAGAGGGGTTTGATTTTGGGACAAACTTTTCAAGGGCACTCTGCATCGCGGCGGAATTGGGGTCGCCTGCAATTAGACCCGCCGGAGAGGGCAGCCCTGGGGCGGCGAGCGACGGCCCCAGACCCCAGTGACTGGCCCAGTTGGACCGGGAGCGTGGGGCGCCAGGGGGCGGAGCCGGCCACGCCTGGCCACTCTGGTTTCACCTATGCGTCCTCCCCTCTGTGGAGGTCCATCTCTCTTGGGGTCTCCACGCACGCCCCTCTTGCACCACCTGCCTGTACTCTCATTGTACCCTCTGTCCTGATCTGTTGCGGAGGCCTGCCCGCCTGTGTAAGGCTTCCTCCTCCTCCAGGGAGCCCTCTCACCGGCTCCTTCCCACCGCAGTGCTGTCCTTGTGGCCAGGTCCCCTCCAGCTGTATTATTGGCTTACACTCAGGCTCTGCGAGGTAGCCCGTCCTTCCTGCCCCAGCCCCAGCCCCAGCCCCGAAAGAGACCTTCCCAGTGTCATCCCGGGGCAGCTGTCTTGTGGGTTGCAGGATACAGGCTTTAAGAGGCCACCAGGGCACTGGGGAGCCTGCGGTCACGCTTCTACCTGAATTAACTTTGAAGGGCCGGGAATGACAGGCATGGGGGAGGGGCGCTCAGAGCAGTGGTCTCCAGTACTCCCTGCCTGTCCTGACCATTCGTGGAGAGTGGGCAGTGGCTGGAGGGCATAGCAGAGCCTGCTGAGCAGCACACGGCTGGTGTCCTTCTGAGCAGCCTGGGCCTCCTTTTCATCTGCTACTCACTTTTCTTTGTGTTTTCTCCTGTTGGATTTTAGGCCCCCTGAAATCCTTTTGGGAAGAAGGTGAGAGTGTAAATAAATTAATGAGAATCAGAGTAATTCAGATGGAAACAACATGGCCCTGATCTTCCCCCCACCCCCAAGAGCTGAGGTTTGTGACCTAGTTCTGGCCCTGGGAGAAACCAGTGGGGCCCTTCCCAGCCCCTGCCCTGCAGATCCTGGGTGACTGTTTACCCTGGCTGAG